GAATGCGCGTTGGCAGCGCAGGCATGTTGGAAACGGCGGATGGTTAGCACTAAGGCGGCGGCGACGGCGGCGATCCGATTTACTTCGTAGATGGCAGCAAGTGCTCGGCCCAGCACTTCAGAATCTGCGACATCTCCGTCAGAAGCGTTTACCCCTCAGAGCTGAGATGCGACGCAATTCCTCCTGCTGGGCGGCCGTTGACCGCATTGACCACAGCAAAGATGTTCTTTGATTCTTTGCGATCGGCATATCCCTGGATCTGTTTGGCCCTGTGAGCCATCCAGGTGTCCCGCATTTCTCGCAACTGTTGCTGTGTAAGGCGGCGACATTGGCAGAAGGCTGCTTTGTTTGCGTCGTGTGGGAGTCGAGGTAGGCTCTGTGCAGACTGTTCTTCTCGGCAAGCAGGTTGCTGAAAGCTGCATCGTTGTCGTCGAACCAGTCCTGAAGTTGGCGGCGTGCGCGACCGAGGACAGCCAGCGCCGTTGACTGGACTGTGTCCCCCAGGTGACACCATCGATTCTCCGCGGAGGCGTTCTCGTCAGCGGCGGCGGCGGCAGTGACTGGAAGGTTGTCTAGCCGTTGAGCTAGGTCGTTGCTGAAATGAAGACGGTGAGCGGGGAAAGACATCAAGGTAACATTCAGCTTACCTGGGGCTAGTTTACCTTGTGGTCTTCTGCGAGGCTGCAGGCGAATACGCATCTTCGAGATGACGAGGAGATGGTCGGCCCACCCGTCTGCACCCGCGATCGCCTTTGTCACCAGCACGTCCCGCTGATCACGCCTCCGGACGAGGACATAGTCCGGCAGGTGCCATTGACGCGACCGAGGATGCCTCCAGGTGGCCTTCTCTCGCTCCGTCAGACAGAAGAAGGTGTTCGTCAGGATAATGCGGTGTTCTGCGCCGGTGCGGAAGAGGAGCAGGCCGTTGTCGTTGAAGCAGCAGAGACCATAGGGACCTAGCACTCCTCTCCAGGCAGCATGGTCTGTGCCAACTCGGGCGTTGAAGTCACCAAGGCCGATCAACTTGTCCGACTTCGACACATTGGCCAGGAGGATATTCAGACCTTAGTAGAGCTTGGTCTTCGCCTTCATCAACGCTACTACTACTACTACTACTACTACTACTACTACTACTACTACTACTACTACTACTACTACTACTACTACTACTACTACTACTACTACCACCAATAATGTCGTTAATTCACTTGTTACTAGGGGCTTGATCGGCATGACGATGCGGTTGAAAGGACGAGGAGGGAACAGACATCTTCGTTGATCTGCAGGAGGTCTTGAACAGAGTAACTCGTGATTACCGCATCATGATGACATCGGGTGCAGCATCTGAGTGATTATGAGCTATCGGCGACGTCAAATAATCAAACAGGGAATTTCCGCAAAAAATGCGGCACAAAGGTTCTAGATATCGTGTTTCCTGAACTTCCATCCCCTATATGTTCTCTAGGTTATTAAGTTTTCCTAGTTATATCATTTCTCTGCTAAATGTAGTATTGTTTGCAGATAATTGTAAAATTGTCATCCAGTTGGGTATTGAGTTAGAGAACAGAGTTTTCAACTCATCCACTTCCTATGCATGACCAGTTGTGCTAGTTGTTTATTGAATGAGACTCTACAATTATTTAGTCCGTTTCGAATGCGGAGGATTTCCAGAACGCAAAACCGTTTCACCTAAACCTAGAATAGGTCGTTCAAGTTGTCTTGCTGTGTTACGAGTTCCTAGTCAGAAATTGACTTAAAGCAGAGATTCTCATTAGGAAATCTGGCCGTCACCAATTAGTGTTTTCTTCGACAGCTAAACGCCCCTACTGATAAGAAATTCATCATCATCAGTATCAGATTTGAAATTCACACGGCTACTTACTGTGTGCCGTGGTCTTAGCACGCAATGGTCCCGCAATCTCCTTTACTCTGGTTAACCGGGCATTTAAGTAGTAAGTCCAGATGCGCCTTACGACCTTGTCGCATTCACTGGAAACTATTTTATGTCGGATGCCTCCTCGTACGCGCCAAATAGCACATTCAAATTGTGGCCATATCGATCGCGACCGGGGCCCGCTGCGGAGCGGGGATTGCTTGGTGGTTACAGATCACGGCTCACTGTTATTGACAGCAAACTGGCCGAGGAATGACTATGAACTGAAGAGTTATCCTGGGGCAGCCAAGTGGCAGTGGCCTACCCGCCCACACGCAGTTAATGTAGACTTGCGCAGCATCTACCACACTCTCTCTTCCCCACCCCCCACCTGGACCCGGTGCCAGAGCAGAGTCAAGAAGACCAGAGACGGGTGATGCGTGACAACAGGTATTCCATCGTTGGCGTACTGTTTAACTTGCTCGAGGTAGGTCATTTTATTGTGCATCGAACAAGCCAGATCTGCGCACTGTTAAATATTGAAATAAGCAATCTACGCAGTGCTTTAACGCACAGGTCCGCTACAGATATCCGATTGTAATCATAATCAAAGCCTTGATTTGCATGACAATGGTTGTTGTAATTACAATTGTTATTTCTCGGATGAACATTATTCTTGATGGCAGTGATGACGACGATCAAGTTGTTGTGAAACGACCAATTTGCACAATGCTGTAACACGCACCGCCATGCTTTCAGTAAGCCTAACATGTTAACTTAAATGAAAACCCCAGTTTTCAAGCTAAAAAATGCAAACTTCGAGCGGAAAATTCGAAAATTACGGGATGTACGTTCTGAAGTCGTCTGACGAAAAAGGTTTAATAAGGGTCCACTAGTGTCATCAAAAGTTCTGTCCTGCGAATACATAATGGCAGTTATCATAATGCTAGTTTTTCAGTTATTAGCAAAATTCGGAATGGTTCTGTAAGCCTTGGTAAATTATTACAACAATACTAACAGTTGATATCTACATGGCCTTCAAAGATGTCTACAAGGACGATCCGGACGACGACGTCTCTGAAGGTCGACTTGGTAACGACGATGACGGTGAGGAGGGGGGTTGGTGGAGGGGAAGAAGAATAAGGAATGCAACGGTCGATTTGCCGGTGGCGGGAGTTTAGAACTGTTTCCTACAGACTAGACATGTCCAAGTCTGAATCGATTCTCCCCTTACCTTCCCTGGATAAGGAGACTAAGCTACTTTCAGGAATCCACCCTTCATCTACTTGCTCGTATTACGACCGAGATTTAATAAACCAGTGCCGTTTATTAGATACCCATGCGTTGTGAAATTCAGTTAAACACAAGCGCCAGTCTAGTATGCCACTAATTAATATACTACCAAAACTACTTCATCGACTTAAGTAGCCATGTAAGCGATGTTTTAGTATTTTCTTGAGAGTTCGGAACTAACCTGACCGGGAAGACGGGTTGCCCCAAGAAGACGGGTTGCCCGGGAAGACGGGTTGCCCGTTAGCCTAGCTGCTGGCTACCCGGCGCGTCCACAGGTGGCGGATAGTGGGACGACCTTCAGTGAAGGTTAGCTGCGAAATAAGCAGGCCCAGGTCTGACGAATAAGCAGTCGCGGACCAGCAGCGACATTGCTACCAGGGTGCGGTGGGCTGAAGTCTGGCACGCTGAAAGCCTTATAAAATGCCGCAAAACCCAATGACGGCATTGTGACATGGCGACCGTAAACCGCCATTAAATAAGTTTACTTGCCACCGCTGCCTTGTGGTTTGGTTTTTAAGCCAAAGCGCTAGAGGAGACAACCTCGAACAAACAATCCGAGCGGCTGTTGGGGACCCGCCCGTATTCAAAATTCCCAAGAAACCTCATGCAACATGTCCAATAACAGTACTACGACCCATGCTACGGCGTCCGCGGGAACCGACGCGCTCCGCAACCCTGGTTCAGTGATGCGGGCGAATAGTATGCGAGCTGGACTACTCACTCGTGGATGGACTCTCGGTATTGGATGCTGGAATGTACGAACGTTCCTCGACCCTGGTACCCAAAGTCTGACCGCACGCAGCCTTCATCAGTACAACGTTGATGTCTGTTGTCTGTCTGAGGTACGACTCCCTGACTCAGGCTCCCGTGAAATCAAGATCCCCGGAGTCGAATCCCACTTCACCCTGTACCACAGCGGCCCCCGCGATTCCTCTGGTGGACATGGTGTGGCGATCGCCCTATCACAACAAGCAGACCTCGCGCCACTTGCTTGGGAACCAGTCAATGACCGGATGACCTACGTGTGACTGAAGGGTCACTTCACGAACATCTCCATCGTCGCTGTGTACGCACCAACTTCGGCTGCCGAACAGCGCGATAAAGAGGCGTTTTGCTCTCAGTTGCAAGCGTTAGTTGAAAGACTGCCTCGCCACGATCTGCTGATTGTTGTTGGCGATTGAAATGGTCGAACTGGACCTGGCGACCCCACAACCAGTCATCTTCTTGGCCGCTTTGGGCTTGGTTCCCGATGTGAAAATGGTGAGAGATTGCCGAATTTCGCTGATCGAAACCGACTGCTTGTCACCAGCACATGCTTCCAGCATCGCAAAAAAACATCTGCTGACCTGGTATTCAAACGATGGTCGTACGGCCAGTCAGATTGACTACATACCAGTCAGCTCAAGATTCCGCAGCTGGGTTCACGATAGCAGATCGATGCGTGGTGCCGAGACTGGTAACGCGCATGGGTCGGACCATGTCCTCGTCCGTACACGTCTGAAAGTTCATCTCTCGTCCGCACCAAAATTGCCACCTCCTAGACGCCTCAATGTCGCAAAAATCCGGCAAGCCAGCACTGCTGAGGCCCTAAGCAGAGAAATCCGGACCTGTTTTACGACCCGAGCAAACGGAGAAGTCAGGAACCAGTGGTCGTCACTGAAGACATCAGTCTATGGGACAGCTGAGAAAATCCTTGGATACACCCAACGACGCCGCAGTGACTGGATCAGCTGAAGGACCCTGCAATTGTCTGCTATGACGGCTAGAGCCAGGTCCCGCAACGATGACTACTTCCGCCAACTTCGGAAGATGACGGCAAAATCGGCCAGGGATGACCGGAAGCAATATTGGGCTGAAATAGCGACATCCATGGAACAGGCTTCGAACGTTTGTGACACTCGAAAGCTCTACCGTCTGATCCGCCAAGTTAGCGGTAAGCCCTCTACACTGAGTGACTCTGTTCGCGATGTGAACGGCGGCTTTATTGCTGACAACTCGGCCAAAGTCGAGCGCTGGCGTGAGCACTTTGAGCACCATCTCAACTTCGATACCCAACCTACATCGCCCTTGCTCTCGTCCTCAGCGGAGTTTCTTCCCTCTCCTACCTATGCAGTGCCATGCGACCCCCCCCCCCCTCTGAAGGAGAAGTCGCCGATGCCATACGAAAGTTGCGCAACAATAAGGCACCCGGAGAGGACGGTTTACCCGCTGAAATCTGCAAGTCTTGTGTCGACACTCTGGCGCCTTGGCTCCATAAGGTGATTGAACGAGCGTGGAGAGACGAGGTTGTTCCTGATGACTGGGGCCTAGGCATCCTTGCACCTATCCTCAAGAAGGGAGATAAGACGAGATGCGAGAACTACCGCGGCATAAGTCTCATCGACGTTGCTGCGAAGATGTTCGCTGTTGTCCTACTCAGGCGATTCCAGGTTGTGCGTGACTCAAGGACGAGGCCCAACCAAGCCGGATTTCGTGCTGGACGTGGATGCGCAGATCAGATATTCACACTGAGGCGCATTCTCGAATTTCGTCATAGCTACCAACAACCGACGGCCGTCTGCTTCGTTGACTTTGCCGCCGCGTTCGATTCCGTTCACCGTGAGTCCCTGTGGCGGATAATGGCGCTAGATGGTGTACCGGCAAAAATCATCGCCATGATCAAGGCCTACTATCGTTCCATTGCTGCGAGAGTCCTGGTCCGTAACAATCTTTCCCAACCGTTCGGTATTCGGTCTGGCGTCCGCCAGGGTTGTATCCTGTCACCCATACTGTTCAACTACGCTATTGACTGGATCCTCGGTAACGCCCTACGCGACAGTGACGGCGTTGAATTTGCACCCGGACATCGACTGACTGATCTCGACTATGCCGATGATATCGCCTTACTTCCTTCAAGTTTTGATGATCTGCAGTCTACGGTGTCACGGATGAACGAGGTCGCTAAATCAGTCGGTTTGTCCATAAACGCTGGGAAGACCAAAGTATTCTCAAGCTGCATTCCTGACCAGGAGAAGGCACCCCTGGGGAT